TACATTGTGTGTGTGTGTGTGTGTGTGTGTGTGTGTGTGTGTGTGTGTGTGTCAGAGACTAGAGTTGAGGAGTGTGAAGGCTTGTGTGATGAAGCTGTCACAGTCTGGTTGTGTTGGTCTGAATTTGGTGACTAGAAGTCTTATTAACACAAAACACAGATGCACCTTCTACTTTAGAGGCTTTAACAAACCTAACTACTGTCTGCTTCCTTACTTTCCTTTAATTCAGGTAAAGTTGGCTACGTTGAATCATTTAATAAACTTATAGCAGCATGGAAAATGTTCCAATTAAAAAGTAAACCAAATTCGTCACACGTTATTTGCCTTCCTTGTTCTTTTATGTGCATCAGTCCAGCTTCTGTATGGTGAATCTGGTGGAGTGTGCCTATTGTGTGGAGAAGAGATGGGCGTGGGCCAGACACCCCCCTCCTCTCATTTAATATTCAGCTCTTAGGGGGATGCTGAGCGATAGTGAGCCGGCAGGGCTTGTTGAAAGTCTCCACGGTTGAGCAGGAATCGTGTCGGTGTTGAACTGAAGAATTAAAATCAACTTCCCTCCACAGCAAGGTTGAGGTTTGTCTCTATAATCAAATTCAACTTCTTTATATAGCTTTGCCTTTGTTCAGTTATTAGTTTTATGCACATTTTAGAGTTTATTTTATTGGTATTGGATTTTGTAGTGTTTTCGGGAATTTGTGGAAAAGGATGTTCGACCTGCTGAGCAGAGGAAAGTGCTCAGAGTGTTTACTGATTGGTTCTTGTTTGGTGTAAACATCCAGCCATTGTCCTGAGAGACAGCGAGCTGAGGAGGGTGTGTCAACAGGCTCCTGGTGCTGCTGTCACAGTAAACAAAGGATTATTTTTTTTCCGCTTACATGTGTTTATATTTGATGTGGAAGAACAGTTGACAGGTGATGCATGACTGGAAAAGAAGGGTCAGGCTTTTTAAAATTTCCTTTAGATAAATTTAACTGAACTATTGGGCCTTTGAACTGACAGCCAAGCCGGGATGTGACGTTTAAGTGTGTATCGACTTGAGCCTGAGCAGCTTGTTCCAAGGATTATGAAGAAATATCAAGCAGCGGGTTAGGTAGTTACATTATAGCACCACTTGCCAAGGCAACATGCAAGCATTGAGTGCTGCTCATTAATTTGTGGCAGGAAGTAACTCTGACTACGATGGAAGAGCCCAACTTTATAAATCATTGATGAGCCTTTTATCGATTGTCTGAACCCCTAATAGAGAAAAGGCAAACGCATTTAAGTTAGGTTATCTTAGCCTTATAGTACTTTAAATGTTTGAGGGGGTCATTGATAAAAGAAAAGATTGCTGCAGTTGTAAAGAAAAATCTTGATCTAGTAATTGGAGTAAAAAGAATAAAAAATGTCCCAGTTGATAAAAGAGGATGCTCATCTGCGTCTTGTTATTCAGCCTTTTGAATGATGCAGACTGACTACTTGAAATCCCTAAAGGGAGTTGCATGCATTGATTCATTAGATCCAGATGATTGTTTATTTCTGCTTTGCTGCCATCCCCCTTCCCCCTTTTGCATTTATCTCTGCTCTTGTCTTGTGTAATTGTCCAATTTCTGGCAGTAAAGGAAGTTACAGCAGAAATTGCCTTGATATATTTAAGGCAAAAAGTCCAGTGCACCTTTTGTGAGTCATTTCTGAAACAAATAATCTAAATATAGTTTGACGTTATTTATATTTAATGATTCAGTTCTCTTTCTTGAGCAGAGCATTGTGACTGTTGTCCTTCATTATAAAGAGTGGACAAAGTTAGTTTCAAGTTTTAGGCATGGGCACAATGATGGAAGGAAGCAGAGAAAAGTAGTGTGCCTGTTAGACGTTGTGCAATGAGCAAGCAGTGCGACAACTACTTTAACAGCCCGTTAGAAAGAAATACACACACAAATTGGTAAGAAATGACACAGTGACAAAGGATGTCAGACATTTCAGTTTTTAATTGAGAAACCTCCCTGAGTAAGAAACAAAACATTTTCATCTACTGAAAAATGTTCCTGTTGTTTTGATGTTAAAATCTCAGGAATGAAGATGTCCTGGAGGAGTGAAACTCTATAGTACCGGTAAGTTTCTTTTGGCTGCTCCTTCCTTCAGGAGGTTGCAGCGAGCGAACTTGCATGAAATATTTGGCAACTGTTTTTATACCGGTTGCCCTTTCTGACACAGCCTGTGTTAGAACCTGCAACCTCAGAATTACAAGACCATGGCACTGACCACGATGAGTGAAAATCTATACAAACTCAAAATAACAGTCTCAGGAGCTATCCAGGATCCCATCTGCTTTGGAAGGGTCAGTTTTTGTTTTTGAGTTTGATTCGAACCGTTCCAGTTTAGTCCACATGCACATTTCAAATGCGCACCACACCTCCCTCAGAATCCAGTGAGACTTTCACTGAAGGTTTGCTTATTTTCCCACAACACAAGTTAGTCGTGAGCTTGTCTCCAGTCATAGCCCAGTGAGATACTCCTTTTAAAAGTGCGTTACAGCTCAAGTAACAAATATCCTTGGTGTCATTTGCATGCTGGGAGTTCTTATCGGGTTTCCTCTTGCTTCACAGTGTGCAGGTGGTCAGCAGAGAGCCATGGATACCACCACCTCCATGAAGATGACCTCCCTAGCTGTCCAGAGCCTGTTCAGCTACATGGAGGAGGAGGACCTGGCTGCCGTCAAGGCACATTTGGACAAGTTCAGAGATGTGGACTGTAGGAGCGATGTAAGTCATCCAGTATCACAACAAGCCCCCTGTTGGCTCAGGAAAGTAAGGGAAGATTACACAGTAATGAGAGGCTTTTTGAGGTTATGCAACAAGTGTTCTGTGGGGGAAAGGATTTTCACTAGAGTTACAGTGCTTTAAAAAAGTATACGACTTCCCTTGAGCTGGAGCTTTTAAAGATCATTATGTTACTTATTTACGATAAGTTTAGAGTAGGTATTTTTCTGTTGATTACTTTGAAAATATTTTACAATTACTGTATTTTCCGGCGTATAAGTCACATCCGTCAAAACAAGCATCATGAAGAGGAAAAAACATATAAGTCGCTTCGGCGAATAAGTGGCATTTATTATGCATCACCACTGACCCGTCGCATTTATTATGCGTTTATTATGCGTTTATTATGCGTTTATTTAATGGTCAAAACAGCTTCATTTTGCCTGGGCGGCGTGGCGCCATCCATCTGTCGCAACTGGAGCTGCTAGCTCTCCAGCGTTCCTTTGTCTGCACCAGCTGAGTGAAGCGAGTGCACACGGGAGGACTTGCTTTTGCAGTTCTTAGAAATTTAATGTGTCAGTCAAAAATTGCGTCATGAAAATAAAATATATATATATATATAAGTCGCTTGGTGTATAAGTCGCAGGACTGACAAATCTATACAAAAAAAACAACAACCTGTGACTTATAAGCTGGAAAATATGGTATTTAATTTACAGGCTCAAGCTGTTTCTGAGTTTTCACTTTATAAATACAAGAATAGTCAAATTAATTTGCTTCTGAGATAAACAGGAGTTATTTCACTTTATTTCCTGTGTATTTGTTCCAGAATGGACAGACTCCCCTGATGGTGGCTGCAGAGCTGGGCAGTCTGGAGATCGTACAAGAACTCATCAGGAGAGGAGCTTGTGTTAACTTTGATGACGTTGTAAGCATGCCGTTATTCTCACATACCATTATCTAATGTGAACACATGCGTACGAACACGTGTACAACAGAGTCGATGCACAAGTGGAAAAAACAATGCGGTCATGGTAACCACATCATCTACTAAACAAAGAAGATGCAAGTAGCGGCCTTGATGTTCCGTCTTGCTGAACTCACCACATGAGAGCTCAGCTCTCAGTTATTATGAGCCATAATGACACCCTATCACACACCTTTACCTTTGCTCTTTTTCACTTAATGACAGGATCTGCTCACCAACACACCTTGCTTCTTCAGAAGCCAGCCTCCAGACACACATACACTCATGGATATGGACCCTCCCACCTCAGCACTCGCATACACATGCTCACACACCCTTTATTAACATCTCACACACTTATAACCTGCTATTACACATGGTACACTCAAACTTGGACTAACGCACACGAAAAGAGCAGAGGCTTTAGATTCTGTAGTCTCTCTGGTCAGTGTACCCCGCTGTCTGACTTCTCAAGTATCAATGAGACAGCGTGCCCCCAAGAGCATTTGGTATGATCAGCTGGTAGGTATGATGGCACTCCGACTGATGAATGTTCCCCTGGATGTAATGTCTGATGGGAGTCCTCAAAGTAACAGGATGACAATGTGTGCAGGACTGCTGGACAGCGCTGATCTCAGCAGCGAAGGAGGGCCACATCGAGGTGGTGAAGGAATTACTGGAGAACAATGCCAACTTGGAGCACAGAGACATGGTAGGACTTATTATTGGAAAAGTTTATATTTTTTAATATATTTTATCCCTGATCTTAACACTTGTTTCATATTAAAACAAACCATGTTGTCACATGCGATTGTCCAAAGTGAGTTTCATGAACAAGATACTTTAAAGAGAGACCTTTAGTTTACAGGCATCTAACCTTTGTTTGAATTACCCCCTTTATAACATCTGCCTGGATGTTATTGTAATATTCCTGCTACAACATTAGTGATGTGTAATATAAAGTACAAGCCTAATAATGAATTTTTGGTACTAGGATTGATTTATTTTTTTTTTATTATTAGAAAAAGAAATGCTAGCTAAACAAAAGCCAGGAATATAGTTTTAAATGACCTCAAATAATTTAGCCATGTTGTCTTCATTTATGTGTCAATCCAAGTCGTGGTTGAAGTTCCCGTTGCTTGGAAATGGACATAAAATTAAATTACTATTTAATGGCTCCTCTCTAAAACAAATTAAATTTACTACGCTTTAGTTGTGTTGGGATTGGTCAGAGATATGAGAATACATTTGATCCAGACTTGTGTCAGCCAGAGTGCCTTTTTTGCAAAACTATACCTGATTCTTTGTGTATCCTTGAGCCTATCGCAATACATATACTTATTTAATAATTTTTTTTTAGGATTGACTCGTTTTAGAGGCAGAAATTCTGACAAAAGCAGTCATAATGAGCAATGAACATGTCGTGTATAGAAATAAGTAAAATACATATTTTTGTGTGTAATGTTTGGAGACTGAGCCAGGATGTCAGGTGACTCAGTGCAGTTCAGGCTGTCCAGGAGTGGCTACAACCAGTCATTGCAGTTGGATTATGATAAACCACGTTGTCGCTCACTGGAAAGTGTGTCACTCCATCCATAAATAGCACATTCTCCTACAGCAAAATCAGCTTAGATTTGGTGTATTTTCTAAACCTTAAATGTGTTACTTTTATGGCTGTCCTTGCACTTTACTATGATAAAACTATTTAATGATCCTACATTCTAAATATTAAACATTATATACAGTATATAGTTGTTTTATTGATGTGTAAGAGTTTTTTTCTCTCTTTGTGTTTCTAATAACAGTAAAACTTAACAAATGGGCTTATTATTATTATTACTTTGCACAGGGAGGATGGACTGCTCTCATGTGGGCGGCCTACAAGAATCGCACAGATGTGGTCCAGCTGCTTTTAGAAAAAGGAGCTAATCCTAACATCACTGGACAGGTACTCGGTCTGACATTATCACATATCTGGTTTATGCTTGCATGTCATTTTCATGTGAAGTTCTTATCTTGTTAAAATAAAAGCATTTCTTCTCAGAATAAATCAATAAAAGTTTGTGTTTTTGTTCAGGTTTTGAGTTTTAAACAGTTTTAAAGCAGAGAAGTCTCTATAGTTTTAAATAGGCTCTATATCGCACTAAACCTAAAATGTATAGCTTACCTGCTGTTTAAGCGTTTGTCTGTCTGCAGTCCTAACACCGATCATTAGTTACTCTGTGCATGACTTCACCGCTGTCCTCTGGCCCAACAGTACAGCGTCTACCCCATTATCTGGGCGGCAGGTCGAGGCCATGCAGAGATTGTCGATCTTCTGCTGCAGCACGGAGCCAAGGTCAACTGCTCGGACAAGGTACATGCATACTGACAGATGTTTATCATTTATTTGTTTTTAATCACACAGAGGATGCACATAATTATCAGTCGGTCGAAAGTCTAATTCTTATTCCTTCTCCTTTTTTTTTGTCTTTCATAATTAAAACATTTGATTGTTGACAAAGTAATCTCTTGGCTTTGGCGTTTTATGTACTTAACAGCATTATCTATTTTTCTTTGCAGTATGGGACCACTCCTTTGATCTGGGCAGCAAGGAAGGGTCACTATGACAGTGTGATGCACCTTTTGGCCAATGGAGCTGATGTGGATCAGGAAGGAGCTGTACGTAGATCATAGATAGCATTCAGAGTATCTAAGATTATCAGGCTGTCATATGTAAAGACACATCAATGTACAATTTTAGTCTTCATATGACTGCATTTATTTATTTTCTTACTTGAATCAACTTTGAAATAGATAAATCTCAAGGTTGTGCATCTACTTTACTAAATAAAAGCAACTAAAAATTAATTTGTGCAAGATAACATACATATATAAAATGACATTTGTTGAGGTATCACACCAACACATTTAAAAATATATCAATCTGCTCTTAGGGCATTTTTAAAGGTTTTTATCATTTAGGGAATCACTACAGACTGTTAATTTTACTGTCAATAAGAGGTGCAAACACAAGTGATGATGTGATATTAGATTGTTAGGTGATTAATTGTGACTTCAGCACTGTGCAGCTGTCCTCTTTCATGTCACATTGCATCTGTTCTGACACAAACTGAATGATATAGTTCTACACGTAGCATCAATAATCAGATAGATATGTAGCTAATGTTGCAGAAACAATCATTTGTAAGTGATTAGTAGCCTTGATTCTCATAAATAAACTGTCTTAAACCAGCAGTGTTTCATAAAGCTACTAAAACTAAACATATTAGGTTTTGCAGCTTAGAATCTCCTTCCTACATCACTGAAAACTTTAGGTTACTTTCATGACCCTGGTTCTCTTGAGTAGCACAACAAAAGCTATGAAAGAGAATTACTGTACTTTCCGACTTAAAAGTCGCATCAGTCCAAAATAAAGTGGAAAAAAAACATAAATACGTTGCTTCTTTAAATAAGTCACATCTATTATGCGTCATCGCTGACCACCCGGAAATGTGGGCCGGTGTTGTGCCAAAAATCGATTGGCTGCCAAATGGCGGCCTCGGGAGCGTGCACGGGAGCACTTTAACAAGAATTTACAAGATTAACACTTAAAAACAATTATTTGTTTGCTCAACACTATGTCAAAGGTGTGTCTCAGTTTAACTTTTCCTTAATAAATGCACTTTAATGGTCAAACCAGCTGCATTTCGCCTGGGTGGCACGGCAAAATGAAGCTCCTGGAGTTTTGGAGCGAGCTAAAGGTGCCTTGTATGGCAAACCAAGTGTCTCATTAATATCGACTTTTACCTATTAATGAGACACGTGGCTTGCCTTATTGGTCGAGTGCCCTCTAGCAGCTGAAAATGGTAGTGTTCAATATTTTTCATGTCAAAATGAATGAAATCGTCATATCTCAGCCAAAAATTGAGTTATAAATTATGGGAAAAAACGTAAATTAGTTGCTTCGGACTATAAGTCATAGGACTTGCTATTTTATGCAAAAAGATGCGATTTATAGTCCAAAAAGTCTGGTAACACATCTTTGTCGTCCAATAATGTAGAGTGAAAACAAGTGTTTAAAGAACCTAGACTTGTAGGATTCACTTCTCTCCTTGCTTCTTCAGAACTCCATGACAGCTCTGATTGTAGCAGTGAAAGGTGGCTACACTAAAGTTGTTAAAGAACTGCTGAAGAGGAACCCAAATGTGAACATGACAGACAAGGATGGAAACACAGCCCTCGCCATCGCTGCCAAAGAGGGTCACACGGAGATTGTGCAGGACCTGCTTGATGCTGGCACTTATGTTAATATTCCAGACAGGGTAAAGTGCACTAAACTGTTCTTTACTGCTGTTTGACACCAGAAACAATAAGCAGCATTAAATATAATCTGAGTGCAATAAAATCTGTGTCTTGCATCTCATTTTGTCTTCTCTCGCTCTTTTTTTATTTGTTCAGAGTGGAGAGACTGTGCTGATTGGAGCCGTGAGAGGAGGTCATGTGGAGATAGTTCGAGCTTTGCTGAACAAATATGCTGATGTTGACGTTAAAGGCCAGGTAGACCGCCCTCTCCTACTGTGTTTCCTGCTCATGTTCTCAGTGTGAAATGTAATCGATCAGTCTTATTTATCCTTATCGTCTTTTAGTAAGTGAACTTTTAACCGTGGGTTAAAAGCGCAGGTTTTGTTAAATAACACACCTTCACCCCTTTAAAACATTATACACATATTCAAGTTTTTGCACAGATTATCCTAATATATTTGTTGTTATTCAGGCATAGTGATTCATAACATATTTAATTTGAATAAAATAAAACAAGCTTGTGTTTGTTTTTGCCTTTCTCTCTTCAGGATGGAAAGACTGCCCTCTACTGGTCGGTGGAGAAAGCTAATGCAACGATGGTGAGAGACATCCTGCAGTGTAACCCGGACACAGAGAGCTGCACCAAGGTAACAAATGTCACTGGAAATGAATAATATGGAGTTGATCCTGATGCATGCTCAATAATCCAGGTAGAAAAATCTAAAAAAGTTAAATCTGGTTCTCTGGACATTCAAAAAAAATTTTTTTTGAATGTCCAGAGGACCAGATTTAACTTTTTTAGAATATGGAGTTTGATGTTTACTAACAAGAAGAGCATGATTATTGTCCTGTTTTATTTGAAAATAAAATAAATATAGGCCCCAATAGATACATATTTAACAGCTAATGAATGTAAAGCAATGTCTTCTTACTTTAGCTTGTGAGAAAGAAACACTGGCTGTGTATGTAGTGTTTAAAATGTAATTTTGTTTGTTCTTTAGGATGGAGAGACTCCACTAATCAAAGCCACAAAAATGAGGAACATAGAGATAGTGGAGCTGCTGCTGGATAAAGGAGCCAAAGTGGCTGCAGTGGACAGGGTATGGTTAACAAGAAACAACATATGTTACATATTCAGTGTTGATTAGTTTTAGTTTAGCTAATTAACCCATTTTGTGTTTTCACTGAGTCAGAAAGGAGATACTCCGCTCCATATCGCCATCCGTGGACGAAGCCGAAAGCTGGCTGAGCTGCTGCTTAGGAACCCCAAAGATGGCCGCTTGCTGTACCGCCCCAACAAAACAGGAGAAACTCCATACAACATTGACTGCACCCACCAGAAAAGCATCCTGACACAGATATTTGGAGCCAGTATGACCCATCTTCTTTAGTTGATTCTAAATGTGGGGTTTTAATTTTATCTTTACTGTTAACCTTTTGTTTGTCTCACACAGAGCACCTTTCCCCGACTGAATCGGATGGAGACATGCTGGGTTATGACCTGTATAGCAGCGCTCTAGCTGATATTCTTAGTGAACCCACCATGCAGCCACCTATCTGCGTTGGCCTGTACGCTCAGTGGGGGAGTGGCAAGTCTTTCCTTCTTAAAAAGCTGGAGGGTAAGTGCTCATGCATCAACAGAAAATTATCTTTGAAAAAGATAAAACATGGAGAAAACTGATTTTTGTAACGTGCCTTACATCTGAATCCTATTTAGTGTTTTTGTTCTCAGTTCTACGCTTTCCTCCATTGTCTCTCCCTCATTAGATGAGATGAAGACATTTGCAGGTCAGCAGATCGAGCCGCTGTTCCAGTTCTCCTGGCTCGTGGTCTTCCTCACCCTGCTTCTCTGTGGCTCAATTGCTGTCATTCTGGGCTTTACTGTCAATCCCAAGTTGGCAATTGCTGTATCCCTCAGCCTCCTTGCTCTGCTCTATATTTTTTTTGGTAAGGAGATCAAATTTGCCAAAGAACGTGGAAAAACGTTGCTTTGAGTTGCTTTGTATTGAGATGAATGCATATTGGTAAATGAAATGAATCTTAGTGTTTTATGTTAAAATTGCCCTTCAGCTTGTTAAAATTTAAACTCACTAGAGGGTGCCATTATACAACTAGTGCTAACTTGTTTTCCTTACACACTTTAGGAAAAATAAACAATCACAGCAAATACTAAATGGTTTGATATGTTGTATGTGTTTTTTGTGTTTCTAGTGTTGGTGTACTTTGGAAGTCGACGTGAAAGGGAGAACTGGAACTGGGCGTGGGTCATCAGTACCCGCCTGGCTCGTCAGGTCGGTTATCTAGAGCTGCTGCTCAAGCTGATGTTTGTAAACCCCCTGGAGCTTCCTGAGCAGACTGCTCGAGCCCTGCCTGTCAGGTGATCAACACAGAAAACACCCTTCAGTCACTGCAGTTTGCTTATGCTCACAGAATATTATAACGTTAGTTCAGCTAAAAATATCTAACTGACGTGTACCACCATGCTGTCAGTTTGTAGGATTCCCACACTTGATTTGAGCTGTAAATTCACACACAAAGTTTAGCATAATTTATCAGCATTATGCATTAAGTCGACAATATTACCAAGTTCCATTTGCATGGTTTTGTTCCACAGGTTCTTGTTCACAGATTATAACCGCCTGTCGAGTGTTGGAGGAGAGACTTCTTTAGCTGAAATGATTGCCACGCTATCAGACGCCTGTGAGAGAGAGTTTGGCTTCCTGGCCACCAGACTGTTTAGAGTTTTTATGAACGACGAGATCAAGGGTGAGATCTAATAAACAAAATGAAAATGTATATTTATATCTGAAAGCTTAGAAGCATATTCACGATGTTTGTTTACGCAAATGAGTTTGCTAAAATTTGTTAGGTGCTTCTACATTGTATTGACAGTGGAAAAAAAAAATCACATAAGGTTAAGATCACACTTTGTTTTCCTTTGTGCGACATTACTGAGTGTTCAAAAGGTTTTGAGAACACCTTTATGATCAGATTTATGTAAGCGTGGTCATAACAAATTGACTTAATGTGCATTTTGTTGGGAGGTGCCACCATGCCAGAGAAATTACCCCATGCCAAAAAATACCTTCAGCCAACACTTAATCAGGAGAATCCGGGCTTTTCCTAGTGAGTAAAATACAGTAGTCCCTCAATGATCGTGGGGTGTAGGGACCGCGAAGTACGGATAGTAGTAGTAGTAAGTAGTAGTTTATTTTAGTATATATATATATATATTAATGCTTTATAAACCTTTCCCACACTCTTGCAATATTCCAAACAACGTTTCTAAACTCTAAACGCTCTAAAAGAGCACAGCATGTCAAGATCTCCACTCTCTGCCACACTGCAATCACACTCATCACCAGTTTCGCTCCCAATCTCCCTCCTTCTGTGTAAGTAAACAATTTAAATATAAGTACTGTAATATTTTAAATAAACAATCCATACAGCATGAATTGTTTATTTAAAATATTACAGTATTTAAATTGTAGAGAAGAGAAGTGCAGTTGGACAGCAAAGGGTTAACCCTTCACGAAGCTACTTCAGCTGGAGGAGAAATGTGGGCGTGGCAGAGAGCCGCAGGTGGCTGAGAGCGGAGATCATGACAGGCTACAGGAGGGAACTTCTCCCTGCACCCAATGATTTAGCAGGTGCTAAATCATTTAAAATAATTTATTTTAAATAAACAATCCATGCTGCTCGTGTGACTCATCCGTCAGTCAGTGGTCATGTCCAATCTTACTTTGAAAAACCGCGAAAGATCGAGGGACTACTGTAGCTTCCTGTAGAGACTAGTATTGTCCAAGAAATAGAGGGTGTAAAATGGCATACGTGGTTTTAAAAGAAGATGTCAACTAAGATGGGGAGAAGTACTGCCAATATCTATTTCTGTGATTTTCTTGTTCAAGATTTTCCTGCCTTGTTCAAACATCATCAAAAATGAGTCAAATTTAAAAGATCTTAAAAGCTTTTCCTTCACTAATGCACGTTACAAAAAATGATTATGTATTTGTCTGATATTGTCTACATTCCTCCAACATTTCAGGTCAAAAATGGAAGAAAACATGTTGTGTTCCCTCCTTTGTGGTGTTTTCATTGACTCTTGGCTGCCTGATAACTGGAGTGGCACTGTTGGCCATCTTTAAGGTGGGTTAAATTACTCAAGAAAAATGTTTTTGTAAGTTTATGGAAAATTTGCATTATTTGAAAATAACCGTGACAGTTGCACCTTTTTTACATGAAATCCAGTGATTTTTGTTTGTAGTCATAGTTATTCAGTGGGGATTTAGGTTTGGTAAAAAATTACACTATTTTAAGTATAAATAATGATAAATCTAGATTTACATGGGTAGAAAAAGCTGCATGGTCTTACTTACATTTCCTAGATTTTAATTAGATTTATTTATTTGGTTTAGGTGGACCCCAAGAACCTGACAGTAAACGCAGTGCTGATAGCCATGGCCAGTGTGGTAGGCCTGGCTTTACTGCTCAACTGTAAGACGTGGTGGCAGGTGGCTGATTCTGTTCTTAACTCCCAGAGGAAACGCCTGCACAGTGCTGCCAACAACCTCCATAAGCTCAAAAGTGAAGGATTTATGAAGGTAGATTATTAAACTTGTGCACTTTTACCTAATGAACTGTAAACATCAATTGTTTGATATATTGTTGTCATGGCTGTAGGTGCAATAAATTTGCTCATGAAGTTATAAAACAGCAAACGACTGTTTGAACAACTGTGTGAATCAGCTGTAAGTCGAACCCCTTCAGATTCTGTTATTCTATTCATAACTTTTATAAACAAAATTCTTATTTCAGCCAGGGGGCAGGGGTCTGGTTCAGTGACCTCGTGGTTCCTTCTGCTATTTGCAGATAATTTGGTCCTGTTGGCGCCATCGTGCCGTGATCTCCAGCTCTCACTGGAGTGGTTTGTAGATGAATGTGAAACAGCTGGGATGAGGATCAGCACCTCAATCTGAGGCTATGGTCCTCAGTCAGAAAAAGGTGGACTGCCATCTGCAGGTTGGGAGTGAGGTGCTGCCTTAAGTGGTGGAGTTCAAGTATCTTGAGGTTTTGTTCATGAGTGAGGGAGGAATGGCATGTGAGATTAACAATCATGCAATCGCAGCTTCCCCAGTGTTGCACACTCTGCCGATTCGTTGTGGCAAAGAGGAAACTGAGCTGCAACGCAAAGCTCTTTGTTTACTGGTACGTTCATACCCTCACCTATGGCCACAATCTCTGGGCAGTGGCTGAAAGAATGATAATTGCAGATATAGGTGGTGGAAACCAGTTCTCTCCACTGTGTAACTGCACTCTCCCTTAGAGATAGTTGGAGAAGTTCAGCTTTCTGGGAAAGACTCAGAGAAAAGCTGCTGCACCTCCACATCTAGAGGAGCCAGTTGAGGTGGTTCGGGCATCTGGTAAGGATGCGCTTCTGACAGGGAGGTTCGTCATGTCCAACTGGTCAGAGACCCCAATGAAGACCCAGGACACGCTGGAGACACTATGTCTCTTGGCTAGCCTAGGAATGTCTTGTAATCTTCCTGGAAGAGGTTTGTGGGGAAAAAGATGTCTGGGTCTCCCTGATTAAGCTGCTGCCGCTGCTACCTGACTCCTGAATAAGTGGCAGATAATAAATGGAAGGATGGAGGTTATAAGACTTAATACAGGCAATTTTCCTGACAAGAAAAGCACCGAATGTTAAATTCCTTTATGCTTTTAAAATGTCTCAACAGGTCCTGAAGCATGAAGTTGAGCTGATGTCAAAAATGGCCAAAACTATTGACGGCTTCACCCAAAACCAGACACGCATGGCTGTCATCATCGATGGGCTGGACGCTTGTGAGCAGGACAAAGTGCTGCAAATGCTGGACACGGTGTGTGTTTACATCTGCTTGAGTCTCATAATGAGTCAATGGATTAATTTCACATTTTTGATACTTGAATTTTAAGAAAATTTGCAATAATGAGACGAGTTGCTGAGGAGCAGCTGTGACGTGACCTTAACAAAAAGTGAGTCTTCGTCCTGGTGCAGTGCAGACACTTGGGTGTTTCCTGCTGCCTCAACTCACTTCCAAGTTTATTTTATTCCTCCCAGCTGCTGTAACACAATTTCCTCTAACTAAATGTTATTATTTGTTGAAGTAATCCCTGGGAAGATGACAACCGTCAGTGTGCTCATGCAGTTGTTGAATCTCTTCAGTTTCATTCTTCTGTTGTGTTGAGAATGTTTAAGCATCTCTGACTAAAAATAATACTTTATATAAGTTTACTATTTACTATTTGCCAAGTTAAATCATGTTGCCTTCAGTTTGTGTACTTTTCTTTCAAAGATGCGGACATCATGCAGCTCAGTTTATGATGATAGCAGCTGTTTCAGGTACAGAGATTTATTGTCCGGCGATGCGAGCCTGGGGGTGCTGGCCAGGGTTTAACAAACCACAAATGCATTAGCACAAATTGATGTCCTGTGACACTTGGACAATGTTGTTGAGTTAGCAGAGAGGAAATCCCCAGCCCCATGTCAGGTCTCACAGGAGCCATTAAGTTTAAACATTGCAGCTGACTGTTACCTCGAGTGGTAAAGTAGATCCTTTACTAAGGGATCAGTTATCCAGAGTTTTAGATACTGGTACCACAAACAAATCAAATCTAATTTTAAAAATCTGTCTTATAGGGCTCAGTAACATCTTGTAGCTAACCATTAAAGGTCAAGAGAACTGTTCATAAAGCACTTACCATTTGTTTCTTTCTTCTAGGTGAGAGTCCTCTTCTCCAAGGGTCCTTTTATTTCCATTTTTGCCAGCGACCCTCATATTATAATTAAAGCTATCAATCAAAACCTTAACAGTGTGCTGAGAGACTCAAACATCAATGGCCATGACTACATGAGAAACATTGTCCACCTGCCAGTATTCCTCAACAGCAGAGGACTCAGCCGAGCCAAAAAGCTTTGCATGGCAGCTTCTACCAATGGAGAGGCTCTGCCAGCTGAGGGTAAAAACCAACCTGTTTGTAACATCTACATTGTTTGCAAAGAGCGTTGGAACGTTTTGTAAAGTCGCTTTATTTATGATTATTTTTTCTTCTTGCTTCTCTCCAGGATGGCCTGAAGACATGGACAGGAAGGTGTCTCAGAACAGTCTGTCGCAAGAGCAGGGCAAGCATGGCAGCAAGAGTACTCTAAATAGAAGGGTAATTACTCCTCAAGTCAACTTTATGTTTTATAATATATGTCAATATAGGTTTACATATATTGGTGGGTCCATTGCCAACCTTTAAAGATATATGGAGACACAATACATGTAAGATAATAGAAATATCAAAGTGTAATGAGTCTAAGGCCCAGTTTGCACAATGCCGTTTTTTAATTCATAGCTTTTCTACTGCGGTTCGACAGTCCGTGAACATGACGGTGCTCATTTCCTTTAAAACCAAAGTTTTTTGAATGCGGATCCTATAGTGGAGATTTTTCATACCTGCAGAGGGGTGAAATTGTGTGTGAGCACTACTAACATTAACTTGAAAGCAACAGTATGATATGTTGTCATTTCCTTGCTGGCAGCCCCGCCTGGCATGGAAACTACAGCAGATTCAAAGAGCGCGGCGTTCCACATGTAAACAAGTTTTTTTCATGTTTATTTGCTACAATCAACAACTAACAGAGAGTTTCCAGAGATCGTTCTTGTGTAAACAGGGCCTTAATGTGTTCTCAATCCTATTTTACTTTGCGTGATGTCATCACATGATTTAAACACATTCATTCCTCTCATCTTGAAAGCACTGGGATTGTCAGAGAAATGTGACTTTAGAAACCCTCCGTTTGCTGCCTCCTCTCTGATTGGGGCCTTTTATGGGCACAAATTCCGGTCATAAATATTTTGCATGTGTAAAAAAGATTTGTAATCTTGTAAAAAAAAGTTGTCTGTGGAAAAAAAGATTTATATTTGTAAAAGAAAAAAGTCACAAGTTACAAAACTTTTTTACAATGTTCTGTTTACTGATACGAATCCAAAAACTACGTGTGCATCTCTTCCCGTGAGTTTGATTTTACGAGTATGAATTTTGACCTGAATTTTCCTCCTCTATAGCTATAGCTATAGCTGATTGATCAATGTCATAATCACAAATTGAATGGTCCAGTCAGAGAACAGATGGGTCTGGCTGTAGGTGCCTTGTTGAGCAGGCTGGCCCGTTGCAGAAATATGTCAGATCATCCGCCATATTGAATGTGGCAGATCTGCCGGTCATCTCATACAAAGAAATGGACTGAACTTTATAAAGCACTGTTCTACAAGTGTTTTAAGTTAATCCCTGTCTTTCACCACATTAATATATTTTGAAAACTAACAGGCACCAAACACAACATTTGTAACTTTTAATGTGATTATTAAAAATGTTTACTCCTTAAATCTTTAGATTATTGGTAAACACCAAACCAACATATGTGTTGTTTTTATTGTTTGCAACTACTAACATATGTAACACTATTACGGTGGTGATAAATATAGAAATATTAATATTTAACTTTTAATCTGTTTCTATAATAACTAGATCCTGAAATGTGATGTGTGGATTTTCTGAATAAAGAGCACTAACGTTCACATTTAACTGATTTTGATTAATCACATCGATGATCATATATACACCAATATATCTTAAACACTTTGTGGAACGATGCTTTATGAAGTTCAGTCCATTTCCTGGTATTAGTTGACCGGCAGATCTGCTACATTCAATATGGCGGATGCACTGCCTCATTGAGTGTGCTGGCCCCCTGCAGCGGTACGTCAAAGTGTCCGCCTTTTTAAATGTGGCACAGGTGCACACCCAAGTACTTGTAGTTGGCGACCACTTCCACTGCAGTCCTCCTATGTTCAGAGGGGGTAGGTGTGTTTGTTCCGTCTCAAGTCCACAACTATCTCCTTCGTCTTCTTCACATTGATATGAAGGTCGTTCTTCCTGCACCAGCTCTCCAGTTGTTCCACCTCCTGCTGGATTTATGACCGGAATTTGTGCCCATAGTCTTTAGCAGAGACCTGGTATTGGCAGGCAGTGCAGAGGTCTATAGAACAGGTGGGGGACACATATAATCCAATAATCTCCTTATTTCTATTCAGTTCTTCTCAGGTGTAGGTGTCTCCCTGCTAAAAGTCCCCAAAAGACTCCAAACACACCAGAAAAAGTAGCTAGATTTCTTACTAGTCGCTCTTTTGAATAAATAAATAAATAAGATGCTAAAAGGGTTTGAAAACTCACTAAACATCGCAACAAAGTTGGGCGATTTCAAGTACAGCCTTGGCGTGTCCAGTGACATTGAGCCAATCAACAGCTGCGGTTTGCTGACGTCAGAATTGTTTGCTGGGCTCAGCTCGCTGGGAACCACGTCTGACTGAGGCGGGTCCAACAAACAAGCAGGAACAGGGAATGGAGACACAATTGGCTGATGCTGTGTTGATGCGAACTGATTAAAGTCACGTCCGTGGAGACGCGGCTTTAGATGAAAACTGAGAGGTGCTCGGTGTGCGGCCAAGGTTCCTGGTGTAATTGATGTAATGGCTGTTTATCCTTCCTGCTGTGTTGCCACAGCCTAATGACAAGGCCTAGCAGCAGAGGGTCCCTGTGACAAAACACTGGCACCAGGTCTGCTGGCAGGAGGCTAAGTGACTGCTGCTTTCACTGATGCCGTCCTCCCTCCTGTGAGACCTCATACTCCCCCATCCCCTTCCTTTTTGCCTTCCTGCCTTGTTTGTTTGTTTGCTTGACATTTGTTTGTACCTCATGTTTATCTAGTTCCCCTCAATTATTGCTGTTGGCCCTTTTATTATGTCAGAGGATTCTCTATTCTGTTAAAAGCCAGTTCTTGGCAGAAGGATCCGCTTTCTACAAGTGGAGATTAAAACGAGAGCAGGGGGGGGAATCAATTAGTGGCTTGCTATTTTCATGTGGCTTATCAAGTTTTCTTTTGTTTACATTTATTTTTAACCAAATTTAACCATTAATTTCTGTTTAAAATGATCTCTTCTTCAGTTTTTTGTAACCCCCCCCCCCAAACAATAATTTCTTAAATGGAACGTATATAATAAGAAACGTGCAACTGTTTTGCTATATATTGAAAATTAAGCCTCATAAAAATGTGTGTATGCTGGACCTTTTCAGATGTGACTGAGTGGTTCCACCTTTCTGAGAGAGAGGTCATGAGGCTGGTATTATAACTTCAAAGTCAACCAAAAGCCTCACGTTGGCTCACGACCATGACAGCTGTCAGATGTTTTCCTGGAGATCTGTGTCAATAGTTTCCTGGATGTCATGACTCTGGCTTTGGACAGTAGCTCATAGGACCCTCTGTTTATATTATTACACAGTTTTTGTTGGTTTTACTGCAAATAGATTATTTTTTACAGTTTTTGTTAGCAGCTGTTTTACTTGCTACAAAGTTGTGATGTCACCAGTATACAGAGAAAATGATTTGCTTGTGATTGAGAGTAGAGGACTTTTTTTTAGGTTGCATTTGGATATGTTTGATGTAGAAATGGTTAATTTGAGTTCACATCCAACTAACTTCATATATTCTTCAATATATTTAAACACTAAATGCTGAGATCACATATCTCATGATGAAAAGTGTGCAGTAGTGAAATGGTTATGTTACTGCACACTGCATCATGGTTACTGTATTTTACGCCGTACACGTCGCACTGCCGTATAAGTCGCATCTATTATGCGTCACCGCTGACAACCTGGAAATGTGGGCTGGTGAAAATCGATTGACTGCCAAATGGTGGCCGTGGGAACGTGCACGGGAGGACTTTGACAAGAATTTAACTAGATGAACACTTAAAAACAATTATTTGTTTGCTTGAAATTATAGCAAAGGTGTGTCTCAGTCTAACTTTTGCTTAATAAATGCACTTTAATGGTCAAATCAGCTGCATTTCGCTGGGGCGGCGCAGTGAAATGAAGCTGATTTGATGGTTGCTCCAGGCAAGCTGGACAAACGTGGCAGTCTCTGGCAAGCCGATTGTGTTATTAATAGCCACTTTTATCTATTACATCTCACAATGGCATGCCATAATACTCGACTGCCATCTAGCAGCTGAAAATGGTAGTGTTTAATATTTTCAATGTCAGAATGAATGAAAACAGTCATATCTCGGCCAAAAATTGGTTTATAAATATGGGAAAAGAATAAATAAGTTGCTTCGATGTATAAGTTGCAGGGCATGTAAATTATGCAAAAAAAACCTGTGACTTATAGGCTGAAATATACAGTATTCAGAGTTCTGTCTGGGTTTCATGTCACTCACATGTAAAAGACCAAAAAGGTTAAAGTACATTGCATGAGATTCTTGTTGCTACATTAGGCTAACGTTTGCTTTTCCTGTGTTCGTTCTTTTAATGTACAGTTAATTTTTAACAATCCACATTGGTTAATATGCTGTGTTGACCTGAACAGACCCCTTAGTTTTAATGACTCTACCTTACCTCTGCACCTGGAATATTTTGGAATCAAATATTAAAATGAACCACCTTATGCTAATTTGTTTGCTAAGGACACGTACCGCCGTCGTCAGATGCAGAGAACCATCACCAGACAAATGTCCTTTGACCTGACCAAGCTGCTGGTGACAGAAGATTGGTTCTGCGACATCAGCCCACAGACTATGAGGAGGCTGCTTAACATCGTTTCCATCACAGGTAAAGACACAACCAATGTGAGCTTTAGCACTTCCTGAATCTTCTCACAATAAAACCCAATATTTTGTTTACGTCAGCAGTAAAGTTTATTCAACAGGTTTTTTTTTTAATTGATATCTTCTTAGTCTCACTGTTGGAATTAAACTGTTTATGCCTCTCTCAAAAAGTTAATAAGTGCAGCATGTAAATGGTGCAACGTACCAGTAAAGTAAAGATTATTGAGCTATGGGCGTCAGGGCAGTGGTTAGCTCTGTCCCCTAACTGCAAGAAAGTTGCAAGTTCACCTCCCCTGTTGGTAGTTTGTGTATTCTCTCTCATGTGGGATTACTCTGGGTACTCCAGTTTCTTCCCACTGGATAAAAACATGCATGTTAGGTTCATTTGTAACTCTAAAATTGACTGTAGGTGTGAGTGAGAGTGTGAATGATCGTTTTGTCTCTTTGTGGCTCCACTGATGAACTTGCAACCTGTTCAGGGAAGACTACAATACAATACTCTATTTTATTATTTAGCTTTTTAAAAAAAAAATCTCTTTTACCTTCTTTTATTGTGGCTGTGTTTTTAATTTGCACTGATTTACTGTGTCCTGTTTTTATTTGTTTTATCTTGTAAAGCACTTTGGTTAATGCAAGGCATTGTTGGAAGGTGCTATAGAAATAGTTTATTATTATTATTGTTATTATTATTATCTACAAAAAGACAATGATGGCTGGAGATGGGCACCAGCTCCAGTGTGACCCAGAAAGAAAAAAGCCATCAAGCTTGTGTATTTACAAGAAAGTAGATCCAATTACATGCATAAACTTATCCATCTGTTATTTGACTTTTTGAAGTTTCTGGCATCAATTAACAAATAATGATATGAAAATTAAATCATGCCATTTGCAGGAGTTCTTTTAGCGTCCAAATACGTAAATTCTGTAAAGCAAAATTACTTCAGTAAGCCCCCGGTGTGACCGATGTGTGTTAAACTCAATCATTTTTAGATTTTGACAAATAAAATGCCTCATAAGGAACAGCTAAACTAAAGGTACATTTCAAAAAGAAATGCATGTGTATTGTGACTACCTGGGAAGGAATTATCTATAAAAAAAAAACAATTCTGTGGACTCTGAAGCTGTTTTTGCTCCTTAACATGTATTCGAAAAGACTGTAAAATATTCATTTTTGGGAGGCTATTATCTAATTTGAGTTAGGACTTGGTAAGGCAACAAGCTGTGGGCTGATTGTGGTTTTTAGCTAATAGCTTACAGCTGTAGTCATCTATCTACCAGGAAACTGTTTCCAAAAAACATTTAGAACAATGTTTGTGTGTGTGTGTGTGTGTGTGTGTGTGTGTGTGTGTGTGTGTGTGTGTGTGTGTGTGTGTGTGTGTGTGTTCTTTCCCAACTCAGTTTTAGTTAAATTGTTCAAGAAGAGCTCTCACTTTACTTGAAGTATGTTTTAGATTGATGTTTTGGTCAGATTTTCCGAGAATAGGAAGAACTTAAGGGGATTTCCTTTAGTCAGCTTAAGTCAGCAAAATATTAAATAGTGTTGTGAGTACAGTCAAAGATGGAGGAAAAAAACAACCCCGTCAAAGCTCTGATGGGATTTGTAAACCAGGTTTGAGATTTTAGATTGTGGGAAAAGTTGCTAACAAACACCTGTAAAAGCTAACCCTAACAAAAACACATTACGCTGCAGCTTTTATTAACTAGTTCTATCAGGTGTGCCTTTTGCATCGAGTAAACATGTGGCTGATTGCTCCTTAATTCTCTGGTCAATTATTGACAGGCCGTCTTTTGCGGGCCAATCAGATCATCTTTAACTGGGATCGCCTAGCGTCATGGATCCACCTGACAGAGGAGTGGCCCTACAGGACATCATGGATCATCCTCTTCTTGGAAGAAGCTGATGGAGTGTCAGATCAGGTCACTCTCAAAGCAGTCTATGAGAGGTATACACTCACACAAACATGTTTTGGAAGGCTTACAGATATTCATAGTATATCTTGATATGTAATTTCTACTTTTTCTATTTTTATTATATTTTTATACCTATTTTTAATTTAAATTTAAGTTCAATCAAATGATTTAAAAATACTATTGTAGTTTTTGTTATTACCAGCAGGTGGCAGTAGAGGATTTTATGTTGCACATTGTGGCCATTTAATTCCAAAGGCTGTAAGTGAAATGCAAAGGGACAATGAGCTGTCAGACTTTGTAACTGATCGTAATGTTTGATGCAGTTGACGATGGACTTTTAGCCTGAACAATGTGAGATTCAAGACATTTAAACTATTTATGTTCAAATGTGGAGCAATAAGAACATCTTGAGTTGGTGTGCGTGCTTAGTGTGAGCGTTTGTGTCTGTGAGGTCAAGAAGGATTTTTAGGCATGCTCACAGCAGACAAGAGGAGGGAGACTGAAAGAGCCTGTGTCGCTGGGTTTGGGAGCTGCTGTGCATCAATCTCTGGCCTTTAAAGGTTGAGCTCCGTCACAATACACTAGCGCCATATACTCCTGAGGCAGGGATGTGTCACAGATAGTTACTGTCAGCCATTCAGCCAGCTACATTCAGCAGACAGCTCTCCATCCCCCATCTCCAACACTGTCCACTGCCTCATTAGACCTTTTTTTTTTTTGCTGTTTTAGGAGACAAAAAAAACGTGTTGCCTTACTTTTTTTTTTTTTTTTTGGAACTGTCACAAAGTAAAACACAAGAAATAAAGAGTGGTTGGAGGTGGTAACTGTGAACCATCTCAATGTGTTGTAGATATAATCTGCCTTTTATAATTAAATATGTATTTTAATAATACACTTTCAAGTGTAGTGGATATTATAAAGGTTTTTTTTTAATTTGTGTAATAATAATTGTATGTATAGTTAAAAGAAAGCCTTAAACATCCAGCTTGTACACTAAAGAATGTAGCAGCACTCATTTTCTTGCTTTTGACCAACGATCCTGTCGTTCTTTATCTCCATCCGCTCTGAGTGTCTTTCCAAATGCCTGCTCTGTTTTGCAGTGGCCATCGAAGTAGCTGACTTAATGATGATGACAGGAAGCCTCAAACAGGCTAAACGCGACGCCTTGTCTAGTGGCCTTATCTCTCACACCAATCTTCCGTTGATAAGACTCAGGCCTCTGTCCGTGCATCTTTTCATGTCTCTGCTCTTCTCTTCCCTTTTCTTCTGAGGCTCTTTAAGTACCCCATTTTTGTTCTCGATGAGTTATTCTATCTATTTCAGCTAAAATGGACGGCGTACTGGCTTCTATCAACCGCAGGGTCTTTCTCCTGTCTGTTTGCTTGTGAAATAAATAGCTGTTCATTTTTATGTGCAAGGACATTTTATGTTGTAGCCTAATTTAACCACTCACCAGATTTCTCTATCTTACAGTTGGAATTGTTTTATTTTGTTTAATCTGTGGTCTGTATTCATGTACAAGTTCTTGTGCTCAGCAGAATTGCACATCCCCTGAGCGTTACTAAGTGAATATATTAGTGGTGAAGTGAACATGGGGGTGAGTCAGCCCCTTATAGGTCAACTGTCGCCCTGCATCTCAGTCACAAGGCAACACGCTCTTCCTCTCCTCTCTTTGTAGAGCTTGCTGTTCAACAGTACATAGATTAACAGAAACATTATGCATTGCAAATCACACAACAGATTAATAATATTGCCGGGAACAGATTTTTGTCAGAACAATACAAAACTAACTGTTTAGATTGTTTGTAAAGTGCTTCGTTTGTTGCTAAATAACGCGCATTGTTTTCATTTTTAAATTAAATCCATCCACTGCTTAATCAAAAGCATGTGACAACCTTCTATGTACCTGTACTTCTAGAATAAATAAATAAATAAATAAATAAAAATGCGCCGCTGCATTTGCTCCTATCTCTCAAGAACACACAGGCTTTCAAAAGACCCAGAGCTCTTCTGTTTTGCTTTTTAGCAAAAAACCACAAATGTGGGGTCATTGAGGACACATGGCAAAAAAATGTACTGTTGAATCTCAAAGTTGGAGCAGCTCAGTACAGCCTTCCTAATCTGATGGAGAATGTCTAATCGGTTTTTCATCTCCTAATTTCTTTCTTTTTTGGTACGACTGGTGTGTACCACCCAGACTAATGCAATGGAGCAGAGAGAGAATAAAAATTATAAGAAATACGTCACTAACTGCACTGAAGGTACTCAGTAATGAAGTGTTGCAGACTGAATGTAGCTACAATGTTTGTAAACTCTAAGGAAAGATTACACCACAAGCAATCATTGTGTTATTACCAACATGCTAAAATAAACTAAAGAGAAAAAAAATTATATTTTAATCAGTTTTCTTTAGCTGTCAAATGACCTCCCCCAAATTTATACTTTAGCCGTCACTGTCTTTTTTCTCACGCTCTTCACTTCTGATGAGTCATGTTTCTTTAGTTTCGGCTACCATTAGACAACTAATGACTATAGCTGAACGTGCTGTCTCCTGCTTCACGGTTTTTGCTTCCAAGCAGTCCTGTCATTTCCAGATTGTAAATAAAGACTCATGTTTATTAGCTCGATGCTGTTTGGAGCCAGTTCATCTCTTGCATTTAACATTTACATTTAATGACGTCTGTTTTGTAGACGAACTCAAAGAAATTGATCAAGAGCACATTTCGGCTGTTTGTTTTAGCTGCTTAGTACAGCTACTGGGATATTATTAACATTTCTGCATCGAATGTAAACAATAAATGAGTTTAGTCAAAACAAAATACAACCCACAAAGTTTTCTAAAATGAAATGCATCAACAAAAAAGCTATTAACTAACGGATAAATTTGTACCTGAACAGGTGAAAATAAATTCAGCTTTCTTTATTAGATTATATTCATTAATTCGGCGTGTTTATCAAAACTAGATGGTTCAATTGAAGTTTACTGGAAGTTGCTGAACTTATTTAGTCAATCAAAATGTTCACATTTTTAATTGAACTTTTGTACAACCGAGTTCAAAAGTAGTGAAAATGTTTATTTCCGTGTTGCTTCATTTAATACCATGGCTTGTCACAAGACGGATTTATTTTATTATTATTATTTTATGACTTGAGAGAAGCAGTTCTTTGTGATTAACATATTTGGACCCAGAGATGTACGAGGGCGGGTTTTGTCAGACCATCAGAGAGTTTATTCCTGGATGCCCAGATCCAGTTTTCAGCTCTAGAAAAAGTGTGACTGGTCCGCTGAGCAGATTCCTGCACCACTCTGACATCTGGTGCCCCGTCTGTGCCAGGATGCCCCCGCTGCACTCCGAAGTGTGTTTCTGGCTCTACACCTGAATCTCCTGTTTGTCACACACACCCACGCATCCGTGCACACAAACCATCACCTGCTATACATTCAGACACCTCAGCACGTCAGAGTTGCAGTGATGTGTTGTCACGTTAAGCGTTGGCAGTTAAACTAAGGTGCGCACCTATGTCAAAACGTGCACATTTATTGAAGGTGATACATGTCTCATACACACGTGCATTTTTGTACATGTAGAAGTAGCCGTCACACCAGGACATGAACATATGTCACTAGGCCTGTCACGATAACAAATTTTGCTGGGCGATTAATTGTCTCAGAAATTATTGCGATTAACTATAATATATATATAATATAATAATTAGTAATTTTTGTCAAATTTAAGAAGAAATGTTCGTAACTTGTTTTGTGTAGTTCCTTTTTTGACTACTGGATGGCAGTATAGGACTGTTTGAACTGAAGGATGGATAGTGAGGGTGCAAGCAGCGAGTCTCTAAGAAAAATGGGAGGGAGGCACCTTGACGTGACATGGGCTGTCTCTCCTGTTTTTCGTTTCTCAAAATGGCGGACTCTCTGTGCGGTTGAGCTCTTTAGCATAGCATTTTTCACACAAAGCTTTTAATAAACATCAGTAAACAAGTGCTCAGCTTCTTTTTGCAGAAGAAAACAACTTTTTACACAAATGCACGGGTTGCAACAGTGAATTTTGGAGCTTCAACAAGACGGAGGTTTTCTTCCTGAGGTCGGCCTGTTAGCTTAGCTCGTAGCCCAACTTCTCAGCTTAGCTGCTTTTAACGATCCAAAAACATAATCTTGTTCAGTTAAAATGGATTTTAAAGAGAAAGGGCAGGGTCACCGGATTTTAACCTTTTGTCATCCAGTGTCCAGTAGAAAGAGAGACATGAAGAAACAATAAAGCTGATAAATGAAAATGAGGTTGATAATTTTCATTTATCATGCGATTAATTGATTTAATGTTTATCACAACAGGTTGTCACCCCCAACTCCCCTGAAATTGAACTACTCAAACCCCGAGATGCAGGCTGTGTTTAGCAAACAAGTACACACACATTCTCAAAAAAACAAACAAAACAAAAAGGTAAAATTGTTATATTAAGATATATAGTCTTATTATGATTCCTCTATATTTGTTTGGGAATAAGCTTCCCTCTTACGTTTTTAGACTTATCCTCCATTTTTCTGACTTTTCCCACCAAAGGCATTTCTTGGACACTCCCAAAAATAAAACACTAATCAAAACTTGAGTGAATTTGCAGCCCTGCAATTCGCTCTTAATTAGAGTGACTCTTATCCCTAGTACTGAAACATTAAGATGACACTCTCTTCATTCAGGATTACTTTAATTGGCACAATTATTGTAATTTACTTGCAATTATGTGCTGAGTTGAAAGTGCCATTCCAAAGCTCACGCTGGTGCTTCTTTTATATGGAGTCCTTTAATAAGCTATTCAATTTCAGACACAAAAGTTGTACAATTCAATTCTTTTCTTTTAATCAGCACTGTGAACTTTTCTTGCCCTCAAATGAAGAGCTTTTATTCTTTTATCACATGGTTCTATTGTTCCTGTTTCTTGTGCCACTCTGCATTCTAGATACATGTTGAAAGGTTTTTATTCTCCTCTGTCCTCCCGTGGAGCCCATTGTCCCTGTGTGAAATCC